AGAGAGAGAGAGAGAGAGAGAGAGAGAGAGAGAGAGAGAGAGAGAGAGAGAGAGAGAGAGAGAGAGAGTCTCAGAGCTGTTGGACACACTTGGCAAGGCAGCCATGTGTCCGGACAAACGATATCTATCTTCAAGCTCGATGATATGTTCGTCAGTATAGAAGAATCGATGGTATTCCTGCTCACTCACGCTACCGGACGACTTGGGCTGGAGTTGTGCGGAGAAGATCTAGATCGCAGGATTCGCAGCCCATGGTCGAGGTTCAATCTTCKTCCACTCATCACAAGTTYGACTGTAGAAAACTTTAAACTGCAATTTATATCCACTCCGCTCTCACTCCCTCATATACCATCACCAGGTTCGACTGTAGATTAGTTCCTTTTCACTCAYACCTTGCATTCGCCAGAAAAAACTCGATACCAGAAAGAAAGAAAAAAAAAGAAACTGTATATCTACTCCCTCGTACCATGCATGATGTACGGCACGACACACGTGGCAGTCCCAGACCTCCGTTCCCTCTCAGGCTTCTCAATCATGATTGTATCACGCGAAGACTACCCATAGTACACTCCACACTAGGACCGCATGCGCATATCATCTGCATTAATTTTATGCGCGATTCCAACAGGACACACGAACACGAGGGGACTAGCTCGTCGAAAAAGATTGAGTAACACAGATTCCTCGTCTGCGACGGACTGATACGGTAGTTCTTCGCGACGTAATTGTGTCTGTCTAGATGTGGTAATCGGACGATTCATAGTACAGCGCGAAGACACCTGTCACCTACTACTTCCATGTGGAAGAAGTTTGGTCCCAACGGGAAAGCTTTGGCCATCGCTAACTCAAGAGGTTTTACCCTGTCAACAAAAGTACATCTGTGTGTGTGTGTGTGCGTGTGTGTGTGTGTGTGCGCGTGTGTGTGTGTGTGCGTGCGAGTGTGTGTGTGTGTGTGTGTGTGTGTGTGTGTGTGTGTGTGTGTGTGAATAGCATGGTCCCAGGGGTTGAGAATAGCCTGGTCGCAGTCTGAGAATGGCATGGGGTGGATATAATGGGAAAGTAGACGTTCAGCTGGCCCGGTTGGTTGATTGGAACTTGATCTGCAGCGGCACTGCAGCGCTGTGGTTGCAATGGGTGCGGAATTGGGGGTTGGTCAGCAGGGGTACCAAGCGCTGTGGATGACGGGATTCACCATCATGCACAAGCCTTAGCCCCCCCGCCTCCTCTCACATCCGCAGTGGTGAGGGCATTCTGGAGCCCCGTCCGACGATTTCTTCTTGTGATCGAGCCGGGCCACCTCCATCCCAGTGGCAGTCTATGCAACACACATGCAGGGTGTGCGTGTTTACGGCTCAGCATAGGGGCGGTACAAGCAAGATATTAGAAGACAGTTCCACTTTTGCTGTGCAGCTCCTGCTTCTTTCTTCAGGGCTCGTGTTCCTAATTCATTTTTTTAAATATCTTTGCAACATTTTGCACGGGGATCAGACGCCTGGTGGCAGGACAGGAGCCACACGAGTGAGGAGTTGACGGCTTTGCACTTCCCACGCCTCACACGTGGCCGCCATAGTGGAAGACCAGATGTAGCCCGTCGTTGAGGCAGCGAAGGCCACTGAATGATGGCCAGGTGTTCGAGGCCGCTCTGAGGACCACGGATGCGCAAAGGACCACGGAGGGGGCGCAATGCCGCAACAGTAATGTGAAAACGTTGCCGTCGGGACGCGTTGGCGGGCCTTAACAAAAGAGAAAAAGGGGCTCAAACAAGAACAACTTTGCCTTCATTAAAAAAAAGAGAAAACTACGGCGCACTCAGGGTTTGAGTTCGTAATTGCTCTCGAGGCAAAAGGTCAGGTAATGCTGAATGTATATGACCTACGTTTAGGGTCCGGCGGGCTGTGAAACTGCGCGCTGATTGAGCTCGGGGTCGGAGCTCAAATGTTTTTTTTTTTTTTTTTTTTACAACAATCAGGCGGACGTTCCTCTGGAGGGCAGTGGTAAGAGCACGTACCCCCCCGAAGACTCGCCCTTTGATTACTCCATTCTATTGGTGGGGAGCTGCACCTGCTGGAAAACGGGTCCAGCGTCCCTTATATCAAAGTATAGATCATATGAGTGCTGCCCGAGTGTCCTGTGGGAGAACCAAGTCATCCTTCTCATCCCACCGGTATCGAGAAAAAATCACCCGTCTGTTCTCTCCGAAAAAGACCCACTTGTATTCTGAGGCCCAGGCTTTCAATAAGGAAGACTGGGCCAGATCTACCAAGGGAGCCCCTACCTTCTTCTTCCTGTATTCTGCCAAAATCAAATTTCTAACGGATAGCTTGAAGCAGTTCCGGATCCTGGGGATTGACCATGAGACCCCGCAGAATCTACTATCCCTGCGGGCTAACCAAAGGACCCAGAAACCAATAATTCTGAATTTATTTGCTATCCGGCTTCTAGGACTATTGCCCTGATCTCCGAAGAAAATAAACCTCTTGGTCCAAAAATTCATGTCTTGATATGCTGCAAACCACATTCTACCAACCCAGTCCCAGAATCCTCTCGCCACCACACATTCCCACCAGAGGTGGGAAGAATCTTCCAGGGAACTGTGTGGACATACATCGCATGAAGTGGAGATATCCATACCTTTGCTCGCACACGAGGCTGCAGTAGGTACACAGTTGTGCATGTGCAACCACTGCAAACCTGCGACCTTCGTTTCCAATGTACTCATAATCAGAGAGATGTAGAAATGAACCCAAGTTGGAACTGGACTTGACAATTAAAGAGTAGGGGACTACTTGCGCCAAGAGTTCCAGACACTGATCTGTAGTGAAGACCCCTTGGAAAAGAGCTTGTATCCCGTTTGAGAAGTGTACTTTGGGAGAGGGATGACAGAGATCTCAGAGGTCTCTGTGGTGATCCTCCATCCCACCTTGACCTCATCCAGTTTCCAATCCATGAATGGAGTACCGCCTTTGAGCGGCATTGTGACCTGTCTTCCTTGTTTGTTGGTAGTTTGTGAAACTCTCACTTCCTGATGACTCGACAGTGAGATGTGATCACTACCCGTATTACTGCGGTACAAAAGGTTGTTCCTTTGCCTCCATACGGAAACCTCCGTTGAGTTGTCACTGCTAGTGTTCAAAACTTGGTAGAAGATGCTGGGGTTGTCCTGGTCCCTCCACCAGGACCCAACTTCTCCATGTGCCGCAGAGGAGAGCCTATCCTTCCAGGAGTGCGGGATGGCTTCAATCAGCAGTGACCGATGAGTGCCGACATTGTGGAGTCCTCTGAGCTTCCTTCTTAGGTACTCTTCTGGCTTCCAGTCCGCCGTAACTGTATCCCATAGATGCTCAACTTTCCATACCCCCTTTTGTATCCATTTTCTAGCGAAATTGCCAGGGCTAATGGAGACCGAGAAGGGATGGCCTGAGTTATTCAGTATGGATGGGTTTTCAAACAAGCTTGCAGTCAGGATTTCAGACAGCGTGGAAGGAGGTACGAATGAAGAGGGGAGTATCCTGGACCAGGCTTTGAGGATTGGGCCCCATGTGGGGGATTTCAGATATTTCACTAGTGGTGGGTACAACAGGGCATGCCAAACTGCTTCTGGGTCAGCGAAGTCCCATTCCTTGGCCAGTATAGCCTGTGCTAACTGAATCCAGGGTTCGGTGGAGGTGATCAGTCTAACCGGCCATTTTGCTAATAGAGCTGAATTTTGTGCCTCTGGGTCAAGTATACCCAGCCCCCCGTCCTTCTTTTTCTCAGTAATTTTCCACCAGGCTACCTTACTGATACATGATGGAGTGTTAGCGTCCCCTTTCCAAATGAACCTGGTTAGTAGTTGTCTGATTAGGTTGGCGGATGAGGAGGAGATCTGCCTGATGGCTAAGATGAACCATATCGTTGATAGTATGGAACAGTTTGCCACCAGGGCTCTTCCAAATAATGAAAGGTGTTTGTTGTTAGACCATTTGGCGCATCTGTCCCTGATTCTGTTGTCAATTACCGCCGCCTGATCCATTGAACATTGTCCAAAGGAAACTTTAATCCCTAGGTACCTCTCTGTTTCTGTGACGGGTATTAGTTTGATCCCAAGATCAATGGCTAATGGGACATCTCCGTAGGATAAAGCTACGGATTTGTTCCAGTTCACCCTCATTTCTGAGGCCTTTTCGTAGGTAGAGATACGTTCCTACAGGGCTTTCAGAGAAGAGCTTGAATTTTCTGAGATTGCTGAGAAATCATCAGCGAGGGCAGAGACTTTCAGTTCCAGGGCTGGAGATACGGTCAATCCCTTATATTCCTGGTGTGTTCTAATCATGTTCAGTAGTACTTCCATTTGTATGACAAACAAGGAGGGTGCCAAGGGGCAACCCTGTCTTAGAGAGCGAGATACTGTGAAAGGTTTTGAGATGAATCCATTGACCGTCACCCTCCCTTGAGAGCCACGGTACAGGCTTTCCACCCAAAGCCTGTATTTGGGGCCTATGTCAAGCCTCTTCAAGACTTCCAGAGTAAATTCACCCTGTCATAAGTTTTTTCGAAGTCAATTAATAATATAACTGTATTAGATTCTAGAGTCTCGATTAAATCAATAGATTGAGAGATGACCATAACATTGTCTAACACCTGCCTGCCCGGTATGAAGCCGGATTGGTCAGGGTGAACTAGACCGGTCATTAGATGGAAGATTCTCCTAGCCAGAGTTTTGGCTAGGATTTTACCTGTCACATTGAGCAATGAGATCGGGCGGTAATTTCGTACGTTCCTGCGATCACCCTTCTTATAGAGGAGAGTGATCACCCCTTCGGTAGTCCTTTTTCCCAATGCTTTACCCGTAAGTAAACCATTGAAAACTCGGAGGAGGTCTGGGGCAAAAATGTCCCAGAATAACTCAAAGAATTCTACTGGAAGACCGTCGGGTCCTGGGCATTTGCCTCTGGCCATATCCTTCATTGCTGTTGTTATTTCACGTAGCAACAACGGTTGGTCCAAAAGTGAACTTTCGGCCTGTGAAACGAGTCTATGAGTTGAGCCCCAAAGGCGTTCCTCCCATTCGGGAGGTACCACTGGGGCTGTTGGGTCTTTTTCTGAGGTGAGGAGTTTTTCATAAGAAATACGGACGTAGTCACAGATTATTTCTGATGCACATGCCGGGGTCTGGGTGTTATCGAAGGGATGCGCGAGTTCTCCCATTGGGGGAGAATTCGCCTTTCCTTCTAACACTTTGAGGGTTTTGCTGTTCATTTTGTCCTTGTGGAGGATATTGTCGATTTGTTTAAATTTGAGCCACGATTCATGTTTTATGATTTAGATCTCTTGCCATTCCTGAAGCCACATAGATCTCATAAGGGCCCAGTGGCTATCGGAAAAGGAGGACTGCCCCATGCGTGCCTCCGCTTTCTCGATGTTGCGGATGAGAGTAATCTCCTCCAACCTCCTATTGACCGCTTTAATTCCAGATATGTTGTTGAGAAATCCTGAGAGAAGATGGAACCCCTTATCTAGCCAATCCCCATCCTCTGGGAATAGGTTGGACAAAGATTTCCACTCCTCCCAAAAGTTACGGACCCATTCTATCATGTTTTTATCATCAAAGATACGCATATTAAGTTTGAAAGTACCTCTCCCCTTGGTGAGGGAGGGACCCGCTGTTAACGTGATAGAGATAGGTTTGTGATCTGATAGGGGGTGGGGGGTAATTTCCGCTTTGTGAATCAGTGGGAGAGCCCTTTCTGTACAAAAAATAATGTCCAACCGTCTAT